TTCAAGCTTTCTGTTTCTCTGGTATGCATGACAACTCCTGGGGGGTGTTTCACAAAGATCCTAAGTAGAACTTAACTTGAAGTTGGACTTATAAATTATGGACAGCCATTGGAGTCTTAAAATGAAATATATTCAAAAGCAGAAATTCAAGTATTTTAGACTTTTTATAAATTCCACATCCAGAACATGAAATCTCCTTGATGATATAAAATATGAATGATTTGAATAAACAATTAATGCCTTTCAAAATAACTTTTACAAAATATTTTCAAAGATGCTAATGGCTTTCCATAATTTTTAAGTCCAACTTAGAGATAAGTTCAACTTAGGATCTTTGTGAAACACCCCCCAGTATTAGTGTAGCTTGCCATATGTGAGCTAAGTAATGCTGCAATATTGTAATCATGTTTCTGATTTGAGCTTTTTTTGTTTACTTCATGTATGACACAAACAGTAAGAAATCAACCCGTGAGGTACATAAAAGTATTGTCTAAATAGGCAGATACATGTATGTATGTATGTCTAGAAGGGAGCTGGGCTATTATTGTCAACGCGGACTCGTTGGAAAATCTGAGTTATTTGAGAGAGCTGTATCGCATTCAAGTACATGGGTGAATTTTTGCATCAATCAGATCTTTTATAATGTGTAAAGTAGTTACCAAAAAGGTAATGTTGAAATGCATTGAGTTGTTTCAATGTTTTTTGGATGGGTCATTTCATGAGGTTGAGGAATTTTTGTGATGTACCAGAAGTGAGAAACAAGGCCATGATTTTTGTACTTTAGCTTCATGGTGAATCAGCATTAACGACCCAAAGTTTATGTAATGTTATATACAGTAAATGTGATGTCTATGTAATGCTGGTAAAAGAAGTTTACACATATTGAGCAAAGGTTTTGAAGATAAGCAACTGAAACAAATGATTTTGGGAGGGCACTATAATTTCATTTTTCGTGTGTAGTAGAAGATCTTATACTAATGTTAAATAGACATTGTCATTTTTGTTTTGCCCCAAACTCATGGAATGACCCTTATGGCTGTTTAAAGTCCGGTGTGTATCTTGTAATTCAACTCTTGAAACCTTACATTGCCTAGCGATGCCGAGTTCTCCCAAACCCTTTAGAAGTCAATGGCCAGAATTCACAAAGAGGTCTGATGTAACATATGAACCTCCTGTATGTATTTGGGCCTTTGATATGGCTTACACTTTATGTGAACTTGTATCTCAATGTGTGTACAATTTTCTTTTTGTAGCCAAATAATTTGGTCATGTATAAAATGGTTACATGGACATTTTTATTCTCATCTTAATTCATCAGTATATTATTTGAGACTATCAAGGAGTTGATGTGGTGAAGACCTGAGGGAGGCAGAAAGAGATTGAGAGAGTGAGAGTGAAGAGAGAGAGAGAGAGAGAGAGAGAGGATGAGAGAGAGAGAGCAAGAGAGAGAGAGAGAAAAGAGTTAGAGAGAAGAGAGCAAGAGAGAAAGAGAGTCTGCTCTCCATCTCCAATCTTCTCTTCCTATCCAATCTTCTCTTCCTATATTTCAGTCTGCTCTCTTCTCTCTCTTTCTAATCACTTCCTTATATCGGTCTCTCTCTCTCTCTCTCTCTCTCTCTCTAATCACTTCCTTATATCGGTCTCTCTCTCTCTAATCACTTCCTTATATCGGTCTCTCTCTCTCTCTCTCTCTCTCTCTAACCTGTGCCTTATCTCTCTCTAATCACTTCCTTATATCGGTCTCTCTCTCTCTCTAATCACTTCCTTATATCGGTTTCTCTCTCTCTAATCACTTCCTTATATCGGTCTCTCTCTCTCTAACCTGTGCCTTATGTCTGTTCTCTCTAATCTGTTCCTTATCTAAGTCTGCTCATTCTCTTTCACCAATCTTCTCTTTATTTCAGTCTGCGCTCTCTAATATGTTCCTTATCTCGTCCTGCTCTCTCTCTATCTTATCTTCTCTTCCCATATTTCAGTCTGCTCTCTTTAAAGGTAATACAAAGTTTTGGGAAATTTTGAAATTGGCTGGATAATGATTCTTTACAATTTTGATATAATTGGATACCCCTGTGGATGTATTATAAGCACTAGAAAATTTAGCCCCTAAAACCCTTCTGCTTTCGATAAAAATTGAATACAAAAATTTACCGGTGCTCCTGGTAAATTGTTATAAATTTCAAATAGCCCATAAGGTCGTTCAATGGTAGCTGCGACCATGAAAATCTCAGAATATTAGTTGTGATATATAATTTCCAAACTGAAATAGCTAATCGGTCGATTTGTTATAGCTTAATTAATATCTTGATCTTGACCTTGAGAGGGAGCTATACAACATAAATAGTTTATTATTTACAATTTCATAACTTTAGACTCGATTTCAACCGCGACAACAATCACTAAATATTATAGGATCACATATGCTTCCAATATGTTCATTTGAACCAAATTCATGACCCCATACCAAAACTTTGTATTACCTTTAATATGTTCCATATTTCATTCTGCTCTCCATCTCTCCCCAATCTTCTTTTCCTTTATCTCAGTCTGCTCTCTCTAATCTGCCATTTTCCCTTATCTCGTTCTGTTCTCTCTAATCTGTGCCTTATCTCATTCTGTCCCTTATTTCATTCTGTTCTCTCATCTTCTTTTCCTTAATTTATTCTACTCTCTAATGTTCCTAATCTCAGTGTGCTCTCTCTATGCTGCTCTTTTTCCGTTTGCTCTTTCCAATCCTCTCTTCCTTTATTTCAGACTGCTCTCTGTAATCTTCTCTGCCTTATCTCAGTCTTCTCTCTCTCCAATCTTCTCTTCCTTTATCTCAGACTGCTTTCTCTAATCTTCTTCATCATCAGCATCATTATATTCAACTCTGATTAATTATCTGTATTAATATTAACACTGTCAAAAGACAAATACTACAGACATCAGTTTTCTTTGGTCCTTTATCTCAATTCTATAGCCTAAATTTTCTTCAAATCACATCTGGACTTTTTCATTCTCAGAGTGTTACACATTTTATGGGTATACATGATATAAAATCTCACTATCCACACACTTTATACATTACATTCAATGTAAACATCGCAGAGAATTATATTTAGACAAAGACATTATTTTCATCATGATTACACAAAAACACAGCAGCATGTACATATGTCTAACATTCAACAGTCTAAAAAATCAGAGTTCATATACCACTGTAAACCACAAACTTTGGCAGGAATGAAATGTTTACAAATTTCGCCAGTGACTAAGATTTGCAGCAAAGTAATAAAAAAATGCAACTGCAAGGGACAACATCGATCAGTAGTAATTTGTTTTGTCATGGCAAAAGTAATCCTGTCACAGCACTAATGTCCTTTGGCAAGACATTAATCTACATTTGCCACACTTCGCCCAGGTGAGGTAAATAGGTACCTGGCAGAAATGAATACAGGTACCTTAAAATGCTCGAGCGCTGTAGGAGTGGCAGTGTGCTAGACACTTTTATTATTATTATCATTATCATAGGAATACCGTTGAATCCTGATAGAATGAACAAAAAGCCATATTTCAATTGTACATTGCACAATAAAACAGACCTGCAAAAGGCAGTTGCTTTGAATGATGGCACCAAAGTCATGGCACACACAAAGATGTTTTTTTTTTAGAGGCAATCCATGCAATATGCCTTGAATGAAATTTTCCCACTATATTGCAATCATTTCTTGCCTATTTGCACACACTACACACGAGAAGGAAACATTTTTTCTTTAACGAACTGAGGTAGCGAGTAGTTGCCATTGACACTATTTTTTGTTTACTTCCAGTCTCATGGGTAAATTGTCATAGGATTCATAGAAAATGAAATTAGAACAAGACATTGGTTAAAGAGAAATATAACCTTGATTGCAAACTAATTTAGTGGAAAGCAACAAATTCAAAGAAGCCTACTGCTGAAAGTTTGACTAAAATTAGACAGGAAATGAAGGCGGTGGGATAAAATTTCAGATATTATCTGATTTAAAGATAAAGACCAGTTATGGTCATGCGATTGCATTGTGAAAGAAACGTTGTGAAATCGATCAGAAAAGGTTGATCATCTAGCATATAAGTATTGGTGTGTATTGCAAGGTTCTGGAATCATCAAAATGATAAGAAATTTGGCCAAGTATTTGTAAAGTTACAAGCACGTTACACAGAAGATATGTATGGGCCTATACGCACACCTGCGCGACATTTATCTCTCACAGACCAATAGATAAACTAACTTACCAAATATATCAATTAGTAGGCGGTTTCCCGTCAAAATTTGTATCATCGTGTATTAATAGTCAAAACTTCTTTCACATGATTGGTAATAAGAGCTTCCATTTCATTTTTTGAAATTAGGGCGTTTCCAATACTGGTCTTTACCTTTAAAATAAATCTCAGAATACGACCCCTGGAATTTCCCTTTAATAAGCATGTAGTATCATTCCTCATTTGTTGTATTAGAAAGCTCTTTTATATACAAAGGTGTGATTGGTCCATAGCTCATCACATGATATTGATTGCAAGGATCGTAACATTTCAATCCCAGGCATTTTTCACAGATATATTGAGTACATTTTTGTATCATACCATATCTAAGCAACCAAACCAGTTGATTTTATAAAATTTGTATAAATTAAGGTGACAAAATAAATTGGTCTTTCTCAAATATTTACAAAATCACACAGAAGTATATTGCATCAGTGGAGGTTTAAGTAGCAAATTAAGACAAACTTTGGTATAATTGCACACATAAAAAAAATGTATTAAAAAATTCATGTTTTTTCTTTTAACGAACATATATCAGACATTGCAAATAAAATTGAAATACATGTAACCGTAACTGTATTCCAAACAATTCATATATTTATACATCAAATCAAACATATTCAACATGGAAGTACCATGCTTGTATCCTATTCAATATAACATATCATTAAACTTCATAATGTTGGTTTTATTTATTTTAATTTTTTTTTCTTTTCCAATCAACGTCCAGGAGGGTGTCTTCCGTCCCTTGGCCTTGTTGGTCTCTGAGCTCCACCCACACCAGCCGCCCCTGCTTCTTCACCCCTAGACCTACCAGTTCCATTTCCCCTTGCTGAGCCATCAGCTCCTCTGCCTGCTGCACCACCCCTACCTGTTGCCCTTGCAGATCCGCTTCCCGCACCCCTAGTTGAACTCCCTGTACCCCTTGATGGACCCCCTGCACCCCTAGCCGGACCTCCTACACCCCTTAAGGAACCTTCTGCACCCCTATCTGCACCTCCTACACCCCTTTCTGAACCTACTGTACCCCTTGTTGAACTTCCTGCACCCCTCGATGAACCTCCAACACCCCTACCTGCACCTCCTACACCCCTTGAGGAACCGCCTGCACCCCTTGCTGACCCAGTCCCCACTCCTCCTCTCCGGGATGAGGATGGGGCGGATGATACAGAGGAGGCCGAGGAGGTGGAGGATGCAGGAGATGAAGCTCGGATAGGATGGGAGAGTGTCCTCCTCACCTGAGCAGACTTGGGCTGAAAAGTAAAAGATGAAAAACAAAATCATCAGAACCGGGGAAATCCCACAAAAGAAAGTCCATCAGGGCCCTGCGATATCAAGAGTTGTAATTGCTTCACATCAGAAGTCTTCCAATCAACTGCAGGCTGCTTCTAATGTTAATCTTGAAAGAGCTATGCAGCCTATCATCAAGATCTGTATGTCAATTACCAGTTTTGTATACAGGCACACTTTACATCGGGTTTACACCCTTCTCTTTGCGAGATGTGTAGCGTATTAACATGCATAGGGTGTGACTCTCCTACACACAGAACCTCAAGTTCTGTCTGATGAGCGGAGTGTTTTCCCCTGAACTCAAACCTACTTCTAGAAGAGAGGTGAGGGGCACAGCTACGAGGCGAAAATCATTTTTGCATTTTATCTGCTCAGCGTGGGACTCTGTGCATGATGATTGGCTAAAGGTTGTATATCTCTTATAAATAGAGTTGCAATTGATATCACATGCAATTGTGATCAATAAAGGAATTGCCCACATCATACAAACAAGCAGAGTACAAAACAACGAAATATCAACAGATGGGGCAGAACAATGGAGCGCAGGTGTCGTAATGTGCCAGCTATGAATCAAGAAGAAGTTTTCAAGAACTCAAAAAGATACATGTACAAGAAATCTCTACTATAGACATGGCTTTCTTCTAACATGTTTTTGTATAACAGGCCACCGAATAGTCACCCATTATCACATTGTCTTATTTTCACTACTGGGTATCTCTGCTACAGTCAATCTACAGACTTCTCTACTCAAGTACCACAACTTGAAACATCGAGCCCCTCCTACCCCATCCATCCTCTTCTTACTATAGCCTATAACGGCGCTATAGTTCTTTTTAAAACTATAAGATCAAGAAAGATTAAACCAGTCCATCTATCACTACCACAGTCCTTTTTAGGACTATACACAAGAAAGATTACCAACAGTCCTTTTCAGGACTCCCCAATCCTCGCCTCTCACATGGTGTACGGTAATCATAAGCCTAATTTTTATCAAAACCTTAGAAGTGTCATAACTAAACTAAAGTCACAGTAATCATTTCCATAGCATATTATTGAATATGTAATATGAGCTAGATACAGAATTGATTATATCATCAAAACAGAAAGCAAGAGAATGGAATGTGAAATGAGGCAAACAAATGGAATGCTTTACCCTTTGCGAGCTGGAGAGTACAGGTTTCTTAAGTGTCTTGGACATGCCTGTATCCACATAAACTGCATCTGCAAAGGGAAAACAAAAAAAATAATTTCAAAACCACAGCATCTTTCTCTGGTTCAACCTGATTTTGTATAAATCCTGAAAAATCTATAAAAAATTTATTATACTGCATGTCATTTTGTGTTCGTTTGTCTATATCTGTATATTTTGCAGGATTGCAGAACAGAATTGGTTATAAAAGATATTTGTATTTCTGTAGTGATTGAAGAGTAAACACGACAATGTTATCTTCCTTTGTCTGTGCAGGCGTTCTTGAAATGGAGAGGGAAATGATAAAGAGTATTTACCCAATCCTATGGAACAGCAAAGGAGAGTTTAATGTACATGTGTTTGTTTAATCATTTAAACTAAGACAAATAATCCATTTGAAACAAACATAGTAGTTTGTGCCGCCCACCACAGAAAAGTAGAAAGAAACAAAACTCTGATAGCAGACCTACAGGAAATTATTAAACTGTACTGTGATAGTAAAGGCAGTAACGATGGGGCAACGGGGCGTTGTGGCATGTGCCTGTAATCCAGCTAACAATGGAAGTGACAAACTGATTCACCCTAGGACGCAGGTTCGAAGCTGAGTCACGTCTTTCGGATGGTGACGTTAAAGGTTGGTCCAAAGACGTAAATAATCATATCTGATTGATACACGTCTATAAAAACCCAATTACACACACACACACGCAGATGGGGCAAATCAACAAATCTAACAAACAACGACCAAAGCGAGTACCTGATTTATATAACTATAATGTGGAACCCCAAAACCTCATACAACTAAAGTAAACAGGTATTCTTAGCGTCTTTCATTACACTTTACAGCAGGAAAGAACCGTTCTATAGCCCATCATGTAAGATTATGATGATGACGATGATGATCCACAGCACTTGTATGGCGCCATGTATCTGTTTCAAACATTCAAAGGCGCCGGCTTCTCCAATAGTCATGTACTACACATTTGCTTGAAAAGATGGGTATCGAGGCCCGACTTAAAGCTTTCTAGCTTGTCAGTTACACAAAGAGTAGGGAGTTTCAGAGGCGTGTCTACCAGATTACAAACTAATTTCATGAATTTGATGTATATGCCTGTCTTTATAAGCAAATGGACCTGGTAGAATTGCAACTTTCTCATTATCATGTCTACATCACTACATGGTTAAATGATTTTCATGTTTGTCAAACATATATGTTTACTCTGTCTGTATTTTACTGTACTTGAATAAAGTAATGATATCAACAATAAGGAACTCAAACGAAACAGAACAAAACGATCTGGACATATTACAGTCAAACCTGTCTATAGCGACCGCCCAAGGGAAACATTAAAAGTGGTCTTTGTAGACAGGTTCCTTTAGTACATGTTTCAATGAGAAACCATTTTCAAGGGAAACAATAAAATGTGGTCTTTGGAGACGGTTGGTCAGGAAAGCAGGTTTGACTATAAAAAGGATATGACGTGCATATCATACAGATTCTCACCTTTTCTTATCTGTTTCTGAAGATCTTCAGGCAACTGTTTAAAGATTTCTGTATTGACGATGTAACTTGCGTTGCTCACCACATAGTTATAGATCTTGTCATAGAATCCACCAAAAGCTGTATAAGCATCCTACAAAAAGATTGCAATCATACTATTCAATATGAACCTCAATGATTCAATTACAAAGGGGGATTCCACCCTGATATTAAGTTGATTTTAATAGACGACGAAAATTGAGAGGAACAGGTCAGTGAAAGTTTGAGCACTAATTTGGAAGAAAAATAAGAAAGTTATAAATTTTTGATCAGTGAAACGCTGATTGGTTACTCTGTGAAGTATGTGAACTACCCCTTTAATTTTTTATTGGCTTTTGTATGTAATAAATCGTTCATGTAGGGAATAGTAAGTTACACATGAACTTAAAGTGTACCCATGGCCTAAAAATATATACTGTATACAGCTAGAATGTATAAAATAAACCTCAAAAGACTTTCCCACTCAGCATTCTATGGGCTAACAGTTAAAGAAGTATGAAACAATAAAGAGTAACATAAAGCCCCATACACGCAACCCAAGACTTAATTGGGTTATGTGTGGGTAATATTCTATGCGAGCGTGTGAAAGGATGCATCAGCTAGTCTACACACGAGTCGCTTTTTTCTGGAGAGTGTATCTGATATTTCTTTAGAGAAGCAATGTTTGGAGCTCGTATAGTATGGCCTTCTTTTATCCCTAAAAATAAATCCTGTTCTGAAAGGTTTAAAAGCTGTCTGTACTAGTTTGGCTAGGAGGGATTAGACCACCCGTGGTTAACTGACAAGTGGCTACCTCATCAACTCAGCTCTCAATTAACATAAGAAAAAGAGGATCATGGGGGACCAATGGTCACCGATTAGGCATTGTTTTCTATATAGAGGGAGCAAGTAGCTACAAGTAGTACAGTAGGGCTTTAAAGGCAAGAACTTATTAGGGGTCAACACGTGTAGTGCCCTGATATTGAACCTCTTAGGCTGTACTTACTGGGTTCCACTCCTCCTCTGGTGTCTTCCCCTCTTCCTTCTCTTTGTCTGTCCTCTCCCTCTTGTAGAGTCGCCAGACGGCTCTGAAGTTCAGATCAGCATTCCCCAGTGACAGTCCGGCAACCACCTTCCTGAACAATGGCTCCATCACGTCCTTCTTCCAGCCCATGCCCTACATGGAGGAAAGGTCAAGACGAGTATTAGCGGAGGTCACAGAGGTCACAGGAGTCAAAGTAGGTCATATTGTAGTTGAACTTTTACCTTTGAGCCCCAAAATAAACTAGCTTTCTTAATACTAGATTCATCACAAACTTCCTCGATCCCATGAACTATACAAAGGACAGCTTAAGCTAAGTAATAGTGGAGTTCACAGGGTCACAGGAGGTCATTTTGTAATTGACCTTCTGCTTTAAACCCAATAATAAACCAGCTTTCTTAACACCGGATCCATCACGTCCTTCGTCCACCCCATGCCCTACCAATCAAGATACAATGTACATGAGAGTATTGGAGGTGGTCACAGGGGTCATATGGTGTCAAAGTGCGCTGACCTGCACACTACCATCAAGATGCAAAGTCAGATTTATTAAACACTTTCATTCTCTCAACTTGTATGTTTGCAATCACATACCCAGTAGCCTGTGTAGCCCCTTCACCCCCCCCCCCCTCTTCTTTCCTATCATCGAGAAGCGTTATATTTTAGGGGGATGGACATGAATTAATACAATTAAAATTGACATAATGCAAACATAATGCAGACATATTTACCTTCAGATATTTATCCTCAAACATTGGTCCATCAAGGATGTTGTGAAAGTAGTTGGCTGCAAACTGCAGGACTTGTTTCCAAGTTTTGGAGGTGATCTCCTTGGCGGGTTCGGCCCAGGAGCTCTGGCCTAGAGGAAGGCTTAGTTTGATCTTATCCAGTTGGAACAAAACCTCAATAGCATTTTTACCGTTCTGAAAAGAGAGAACATTACAGGTACAGTCAAACCTGCTTTAGCAATCAACTGTATAGAATGACCAATTTGTTTTGTTTCCCTTAAATATATTCCTTGTTTATATCCCGTTACAGATATTCTCTGCATCGATGTCTTAAAGTACTGTACTTTGTACTTACCAAAATCTCCATGACGTCTTTGGAACACTTTTCATGCATCTCTGGAGGCAAATTGGAGAATGTCTTTTGGACCCAGAAACGGTCCATGTTTTTCGACATCCACCTAGGGCATAGAATGAAATATGATGATTAAAAATTAGGGGACCTACAGCTTTATGTCCTACCCAAGGGCCTGAGTAACTGAGGATTATTGTGATCACTTTAATGTTTCCATTTGATGGAAGGTCTGATGATTTGCAAATTTGAAATCAAAAGCCTTACTTGTGGAATACCCCTTGTTGGAATTATATTATTATTCTGTACAGCATTTAAAATTGATACAAAGTAATAAAGCTTTTGTTCACATTGTGACCTTTCAAAATAGTAAGGTTTCCTTTAATACTTTCCACAGAATGTGTACAAACTTTTTTCAGAAATGTAAAGCTAATATAGCATACTTACAATTTACGATGCTCTCATTTTTGTTTCTCTAATAGAGTTGACGAAAGACTAAACTCTGTTTCGTTGACGATCAGCCATGCATCAAGTCTTTCGTCTTCTTTGTACATGGCTGATCGTCAACGAAACGGAGTTTAGTCTTTTGTCAACTCTGTTTGTTGCTATGGCAGGCAGCAAGTGAAAACGAATTTGTTTAATCAAATTATGGAAATGCAAGCATTACTTTAAACAAACAGAACGTTGTTATTCCTGGCTCAATTTTCCTGATTGAAGTGTCATATGTAAGGGCTCTAGAAATGTGATTTTCTCTTTGAAATTCAGATACCGCCCTGAAAATGACTTTTTGGTTCCCTCTCTTCAAATTGTTTTTAATCTCTCATGCGTGAAATGTGCATCATATGAGTTGTATCAACTGAAGGATCTAAGCTTTACAAATATGTGTCATTTATCAATTATAATTGTGATTAAAACATCAATAATTCTTGGTTTCGTTTTTCTGGGACGCACTGTATATCATTATTTACCTGAGGCACATTTGAGATAGGTCAGGCAACCCAAAGCTCTCACTTAATGCATAGCAATGTGGTACCAGGGCTGAGCATTCAGCACACAGCGGCTGTACGAAACAACAAGGATATTGAGTCATAGGCAATGAAAGATTTGTAGATGGTACTACATTTACACAGAATCTACTGACCTTTTCATTGATTACTAAAAGTTGAAAATCGTATCAAACACTAAAAAGATGAAAAACAAAATCATCAAAACCGGGGAAATCCCACAAAAGAAAGTCCATCAGTCCATTGATAAATTTGAAGAATGTTAACTTGATTTTGGAATAACTTCTGTGCTTTTTTTCTTTTACAATAAGATTCATATGATAACTTTTTGAAAACCAAATTAGATTGATTCTTTTAAATGAATGAGTACTGTAGCTATATCTGTAACGGTAAATAAATCACAAAAGTGAAGAATACTATTATCAATAGCAACTGCCACATCACAACATTTTTTATCCTCAAAAATACATGACACTTGGTACGTACATGGAATCATGAGAAATCAGAACTGAATAAAATATTGTCATGAGCAGAAATGAATTCATATATCGGGAGGGACCAAAGGGTTGCAGTGATTTTGTTTGCTTCCCCCTTCCAGGAACAGGTGACACAAAATACTAAATTAATCAATAATAATAATTATCTTTAATAGCATAATCTTCCTTTTGCTACTTGATCTACATGTATTATGAAAAATTTCTAAATTCCCGACCAAAGAGCAGATTAGTATAGTTTCTTTCTATGACTGACATGAAGATGGAAATGCTCACCTTGTGAAAGAGATGACACCAGTCTCTTTTGAGATGAAAGGCAGTGACTTCTTTCAATCCCTCTAACCCATACATATCAGCTGCACCAAGGAGATCTCTGCAAAAGATTATTTTAAAAAATTGCATATTTTTTTACAAATTTAATGAAAAAAAACAATGTAAGACTATGTTAACCCAAGTTCTTTTTTAATGCAAAGGTCGTAGCTACAAACTTTCACTAGAAAATTTAATTACTTATATAGCTGAAGATCAGGATATTGTTAACAGAATCATTATTTCAAGGATCCAATCAAACAAACTAGGGCACTATGATGAAATATGATGAAATATGATAACCACCATTTTCTACGTACTGTAGCGCTTCATTTCGTCACACGCAATACTTTCCTCATTCCCACTCCATAGACTTTGCACAGCGGTTTTCTGAACCAGGTTTATAGCCCACACAGGTAAACAGCACAAAACAAGGACCTTTAAATAACCATTTGTCAAGTATAAACATTCAGTATTCTCAAATTCTAGTAGATAAAGATACTACAAAATTATATTGTAATCAATGCTGTCTTCGAGGCCACCTCTTTACAAAAGCCACCTGTGTTTAGTGGTCACTTCCCTTTAGGAGGAAACATGTGTTAAAGAGCCTGTCTAGAAAGGACACCTTTCTACAGTGGCTACTTTTTGTGTTTCCCTTGAGTAGCATGGCCTTAAGTTTGACTGTACTTGGTTAATGTAACCCTAAAAATGAAATGAATCAATATTCAAGATTGCGTTCATTGGTGCTCAAACTTCAAAACTTTTTTCCCAAGCTTACCTGAGATTGACATCATCTGAAAGACTGGCAGCACCTCCATACAGGAATTGTATAATGGTTTCCACAACCAGACGACTCATGGTGAAATCAAGGCTAGAAAAGAAATGAAGTGTTTTTTTAAGAAGATTTAAAGATAAACTCCAGTTCTGGTTAAAAAAAGAAAATTAATTCTCACAGAATCAAACGAAACTTACACTGAATGTTCAAGATTACAAATAAATGATGTGTGCCAAACAATTTTGAAAGAAAATGTATACTGGCTGAGTAATGAGCATAGAAAGACAAGGAAATCAAGGTAGTACTAGCCCCGACACCATGTGTGTTGTCCCATATATAGCTTTCTGTGTACAGTGCTTGTTACTTTACCAAGACTCGGTCAAATTTATTATGATTTTGATGACTCCAGAACCTTGCAGTGCACACCAATACTTACATGACCAACTGTTTCTGATCCTTTCCACACCTTTTCTTTCACAATGCAATCGCATTACCAGTACTAAAGTTTATCTTTAAACATTTACATATATTCTACAAATATATACATTTGATACATTCAGGGCCCCGTTTCATGAACTTTTTATCAATAAAAAGATACAATAATTGTTATTAGCTACTAAAATCCTCACATTTGATTAGCTATGAGCAGATTTGATCATAGATCGGCAGTTATTATTGAAACAACTTTTCATAAAACAGGGCCAAGATCAGCTTCATTGTAATTGCAAGCTAGGAGAGTATTTGTAAGAAATGAATTTACTCTGGTTTATTTGTGTTTATAAAGATTAAGCTCTCGATATTCATGACTTGTACCAGTTTCATAGAATGTCTTAATGGAAGAAAAGGTCATTCCAAGGGTTTATAGTGATTTGTTCTACAACTAGTCCATCTACTTCCAAATTGGTCTATTCCCATATGGTCTACACCTAGCCAATCTACTAACCACATGGTCTAATAGTCATTAGATGATTATTATTGCTATGATTAAATGATTATTTTGCCATATAGAATAGTAGACAAAATGGGCATCATAGACAGACTGACTATTAGACCAAATGAGTGATAAACCAAATGAGTAGTAAACCTATTGGAGATTAGACCAAATGGAAATTAGACCAAATGTCTATTAGCCTAAATGGTCATTAGCCAAATGATAAGTAGACAAAATGTGGATAGAAGACGAGCTGGGTGTAGACAATATGGGAATAGACTGATTGGGAATAGACTAATTGGGTAGTAGACGAACTGGTTGTAGACTAAACGGCAATTCACCTTTAAAAGAGCAAATTTAATCAGTTTTCCATCTTCAAATTGGCAACATTGTTATGTAGTGTAGCTATTGACCCACTGGAAATCTTCATGCCATTTATTTTCTGTAACAACTTCTGCAAACTGCTTTCTGCACTGGAGAATACATTTTGCTTTCTGCTAATACTTAGCATTGCTTAAAGGGGGTGTAGCATGGCAAATACTGGTTAAACGCATCTACGACTTCTTTTGGACAACTGCACGTAAACGAATGGACTTGATTAACGGTCAGCGTGTGCTAGCTTTCGCGAAACAGACCAAAGTTCTCCTCACGCTTTGGTTTCGCATATGTTGTACGCACGTATATACTGCGGTCGTGTCATCCGTAGTCGTATTATATCGATTGACCCCGAGTCAGGCCACGGGAAAGACACATAGTCTCATCATGCTACACCCCCAAGGTCATTCTGAGCTACATTGTGTACAAAACAATAATTACACTTTTGTTTTTTTGCAGCAAAGTTATGTTCTATCATAGCCGACTCACCCTTTCATTTGTATCTCTTGCGTCTCACTCTCTATCCATCCACCTCCTAACATAGCAGCAAAGATCTCACAGCGGCAGTGAAGAAGAAATCTGTGAAAGTAGCAAGGTCAGACTAGTCATTGTATGCAGTAATCAGAAATAAGCAGGTTCTTTCCCACAACCTTAGAAAGTTAGTTTAATTACTCATTATTTCTAAGTATCATTTGAGGGAGCCACACTTGTACAAGCACTGCTTTTTAGTGGACCCCTCTGTTTCTAATATATGTATTCCTAAGTTGTTATAAATGTTTATAATTGATTTGTAATGTTTCTTTGGAAACATAAATAAATTGCATTGAATTGAATTGAATTGAAAGTGAATAAGCACTTCTCTTTTCATACATTGTACATTCAAAGTTTAATGGTCATGTACAGAAATAAAAGTTCCTTTTCTTTGGCATAAAAATCATTGTCTGCCCTTTTCTTTATCCATGAAGCAACAAGATATTCTCTACAGAAATGATGTCCTCTAATCTGAAAGTACTTCTTGACAATATTATTTGAATTCCGAACTTTAATCCTGGCTCCATTACTGCTTCTACCGGTAACCCTACACCTAACATCAATTTTAATTATAACTTCAGCCTAAACCCTGTTTTTGTTTTGTTTACAAAATAGAACCACAGAGAAGTGTCACAGGGGCAAATGCCTGATCACTGAAATGGACAAGTTCATGCAATTTGAAACAAAGATAAACCAATTTTGCCACAAACCCTGACCACAATAATATCAATGTGACTGGCTTTCAGTTCAGACAAGGAGCAGCGTAAAAACAGGGCCTCGTCTTATAAACAGTTGCAATATCACAACTTATTTGCGATTGATATCCCCTTGAACTATGTACTCAAGAAATAAGAGACTGCAAACTTGCAATCGATTAGAGGACTTGCGATTAATTTGGATTGATTTGGATCAATCGGAACTCTTTAAAGATGGGGCCTAGATTGACATCCTGTCATGCACAAGTTCAGAGTTCAAAGTTCACACCGTACAGTAACCATACCTATGCGCAGGAATCCTGGTATCATTAGCAGGTACCAGAGCAACATCACTGAAGGTGGAAGAATCGCTGTCCAGGAGACGCATCAAGTTTTGCGCCAGGGTTCCGGAGGGCGCTGGCAGTTTATGAACCCTTGCAACAAACTGGTGCAATTCATCACTGTTTGTGTTAGTGGCATTGAGATCTTCTACAGGACTCTCTTGCTTCTTTAGTGAAACTGTTTGATCATCAGAGTTTTCCTGTTGACTACTTGATGTTGGATCACCATTTAGGAGTGATTCGTTGGTTATCTGTTTATGCTCAGTGCCATTGGTCTCTTGCACTGTAGGACCATTAAGAACTAAAGCAGGGATACCATTAACGATCGCTGCATCAGCTTCATCGCATTTATCCAATCCACTTTCCTGCTCAGAGTGCACTCTTGGAATGTTTTGATCAGTAATCGGCCCAGGGCTTGAAGCTTCATCCCAAAAGGTGACGGCAGCAGATTCCTCCTTTTGCAGCAACCGCATGGGAACGAGGCCCATAGGTGAGTCCATAGTTACGTACTGACAAACATCTAGCTGTTGAACACTGTCCATCTGAGATCCTGGTGTGGCTGCCGAAACAGCTTCTGTTCCTTGATGATCATCCACAGGCAATTCTAGTTGTTCAGTCCCATTTGTAAGGGGAATGTTGGCAGAATCAGCCTCTTCGGTATGCAGCAGTGAATTTGATGTCCGACCATCTTCTCCTGGCCCTTCTTCTTGATCCCGACATGCAGGATCTACACTCTCTAAGGCGTTGTGTCTTTGACAGGGTTCCTCAACCTCTGAGGATTCCTTTGGTATGGGTACATCGGAGGCAGCTGCTCCACCTTGCGCACCCAGCAACACATCTTCCAGCTCCTTGACACCTCCAGGATGTAGCTCTGCATCTCCTGCAGACGAAGTCTCTACTGGTTCTCCACCTGCTCTTTGCTCGTCAGGAATAGCAATGTGAGAGAGAAACATTTCCCATGCCTTCGCCAGATCATCCTCCTGGTATACACACCTAGAAAAATAGAAATGAAGATGGAATTTGAAGTCATGTAGTCATTCCAAACAGCAAGTCTCTAAAGAAGGTTTGAGTCAACTACAATCTGCATACCTTCCCTTAAAATTTAAGAGGAATACATATTTTCAGACAGTTGCACACAAGAAATAATTTATGACAAACAGTTTTTGTTTTCTCAAAAATACAAGAGGGAGCATGACTGTCCTTCATCTAAGAATCAGTGCTCTATTTCAGGGGTTTTATACACCCTCTGTGTAGAGCTAGAAGGACATTAACTCATATATTTGAACAAAGAGTTAACGACCTTCTGGCTCTAAAGAGATTATATGGAGAGAGAAAGAAGTCATCTTTCCATCACAACAGTCAACCTCTAATGTGCTTTCAGAACAAAACCATCAAACTTCTTACTTGACAAACTGTGCCAGGTCTTCAGCCGTTATGAGGTCTAGGACCGTCTTATTTGGTACACCATCCGGACAGAGGATATCCAGAAGACCAGGAACTCTTGATTCAAAGATGGCCCTATGGATGTGCATGGGTGTTGGTCCACATGGGAGGGTGGTGTCTGAATAGGTCCCATCTTGAAATAACCTGTTTTGATTGGGATACAAATGGGACATAAACAGGGAATATTTTAGACACGGTTCAGGGATTCAGATACCGGTACTAGTTACAAATGGTAAGTATTTCTTCTATTTTTTTCTTATCATTCTTTAATTTCTTCTTATTTGTCTTCTTCTTCTAATCTTCTTATTTTCTCTATCTTTCTTCTTCTCTTTATTCTTCTTGTTCTACTTCTTTTTTCTTTCTTCTGATGTCTGAATAGGTCCCATCTTGAAATAACCTGTTTTGATGGGGATACCAATGGGACATAAACAGGGAGTATTTTAGACATGGCTCAGGGATTCAGAAACTAGTTACAAATGGCAAGTATTTCATATAATTTTTCTTATTATTCTTTATTTCTTCTCCTTTTTCTTCTAATCTTCTTATTTCTCTATCTCTATCTCTCTATCCTTCTTTTTTTTAACTCCTTCTTCATCTCTTTCATATTACTAACAGCTAAATAAATGGTTTAATTATTCAAATTATCAATATAGTAATAACCACCATTTAAAAAGAATAATCAAATTAGATACAGCGTCACTGAGGTAAATGAGTAGTAATTCAAAGATTATAAGCCTACTTTCATTGTATTATTCTTTTAAGTAATGTCTGTGTAATGTTATTATTCATTCAGCATAAAATTAAATGATTTGATCTGTACCTGTAAATATCAGCTTTAAGTTTAATGTGCAGTTTCTCCTGGATCCTAGTCTGTTCTTTATTTGCTTTCTCTAAGAAGACAGGCGTCTTGTGTTTGTCACGACGAACAGCCATGATGATGTCTTCTATTCCAATTTGGTACTATTGTTCACATGTCTGTACTTTGAGGAAGAAAAAAAGAAGCAAAGAATCAACACATGCACACTAAAATAGAAATTGTATTTGAAATAGAAACAGATCTAGATACAAATGAATTATAAGTTTATTCAAGAAGAAATATTTAGTATTTGGTCGCACATGTTTAAGTTTACAAGCCAATAATTGGCAAAGATTATTCAAACTATAATCGAGTCGAGTGATTGACACATTTGACGAAAATATCGTCACTTGATGACGATATGAATTTATGATAATCTCAGTTAGAATCAATTATTGTTTATGGTTATATACAAAACAATTGTAAATTAATCTGGATATTCAAGGGATTAGATAATCCTAACAAGTCCCCCTCCTTTTTAGGACTGACGCTTTCCCCCACCCCCCCCCCCCCCCCCTTTCCCCTTCCCCATTTCTAATGTAAATACATGACATGAATGTTAACAAATGGGACTGCTATAATTAATACCTGATTCAGATATTTTGGTTATTGGCTTATGTTTAACCAATCTAAATGCCATTTCTAGAAAATTAGTCGCTGAATATCAATAGGAATAAACTAAATAGTCCGAATCTACACATACAATACTAAAATATACCTTTATTACCTTTGAAGTTCTGTACTTTTGACGTGGAAGTGGAATTTGAATTGCGAAATTTGTTGTTGTTGGTGTCTTTGAAAGGTCGGAATAAAAGAAGAAAATACCTGACGTTCAAAAGTCATTTTATAATTATAGTTGATCAGACTAATATTCAAAACAATCATGTTGATTTGGAAAAGCAACATGTTTTCTTCTTCTATTTCACATAAATATTATCACACTTTTATGAATAGATCATTAGATCTGATACAATAAAGTGAAAAGAATACAAGACTTTAGTTTTGAAGACGCACTTGTTTTAATTCAGAAGCTTTGAATATACCGGTATCATTGTGTCCATTCAAATTGATTTAATTATGATTATCAAAGCGGGCCCAGATCCAGGAATGTTGCCAAAAATGGAGTGCAGTAGTTCATCCTCCAATTTCGTGACAACCAAAGCAAGCCAGAAAGTTTTTAAAAAGAAATAAGGGGGTGTTGGGATTTTAGAGCCAATATAGTTACTCTAAAATTTCCTGACAAGAAAAGATCTGGTAACTGTTTAAGACCAAATTTTCCACACATGCCAATAAAGGGGCACATTCTTTTTCCTGTGTACTAAAGGCGAACGATGTACTTAAGTTCAAGGGGGCAGGCTCAAGGCTGGCAGTGTCCCCTCCCATAATAGTGATAACAGGAGGGGAAGAATGTACATTAAGAGAGAGAGAGAGAGAGAGAGAGAGAGAGAGAGAGAGAGAGAGAGAGAGAGAGAGAGAATACTGAGGGGGTATGCAACGCTGACAGAAACTGATACTAAGTTGATAACCCCTCTCACAAACGATTGCCTCTGTATATTCTGCATGCCTCTCTGCATTTTGTCTATCAGCCCTCCAGTGATATCAAATTGATTAGTTTGAAATGTCACTATGATACCGATGTCAGACAATCCATTTGTCCCAAAGTTGTATATATTTTGTTTTTAAAACATTGTGATTCCTAGCTAGTATAAAGGATCTTTTACGAGGGGAATTATTTCTTGTTTTGGTTCTTGTACTCTCTCTCCCAAAAAATAATCGGATACATGAAAACAAAAAATATTACAAAATCGATATATAACATGAAACTTAATTCTGTAACTTGCCCTTATATTGAAATGTATAAAAGTGATAGCTTATATTATTTTGATATGCATGTCGGAGGCAAAGTACTATTTTCCCAAAATTATTTTGTACTCATTACAAATCTTTTAGTAATACCAAAGTATATATATATATTTCTGTTATTGTGAGTGAGTCAAGATCTTCGAGATAGTGGTTAAAAAAAAATGAAATGAAAATAAAGTAAACGAGGGATATTTCCTTATGAACAGAAAGTCAGAATATATCAAGCAAAACAAAACACAAAGGGAAAATCATAGCGTATAATACAAGATTGACTTTTCAATAAATGACCAATCTGCATAAATAAAAGAATCATGTTTCAGTTAAAAATGGCTCTAATTATATTAAAACCTGCAACATGTTGAAATTTTGATCGTTTATGTCTTTAAGCCAATTTTTTTTTTCTGCTTGGCTTCTCTCTACCAAGGTGATAAATGGGTTCCAGGTATGATGCGAAAGTCATTATACTTTGCTCAACTTTTTGAGCGTTTGTAAAATGGTACCTGACTGAAAAGCTCCCAAGAGTGCATAAATCGTTTCCGGGCAAACCTGAATCCGATATTATTTTTTTCGACATATGTTTGACAATTAATTGAAATTTTTAAAATGAAAATAATTATTATTTATTGATACTGATTGATTGATCCAATCATGGATTTAACTCACCAACTATTGTGTTTGTGTTTCTCCAATGATCCCATTCCGAACTAAGGAAAACAAAAATTACTGTAACAAATTTGCATGGGTTCTTTCTGCACCACCATATCGAAATATCTGAGCACCGCTACTTCGGTTGCTCACTTCAGCCGGCCATATTTCTGCTAATGTTATGTATTTTTTGTACGTTGCAAACGGAATCACAAGTAGCAATTCTAAATGGACAAGTTTCGTGGTTTTAATTTGACAGATGTACAATTGAACGGATGATATCTAATGCATACGTTTTCATCGGCGATTGAACCTGCTTTTATATACCGCCTATCACCGTTTTGTTGGAGGAATTATTTCTACTGGGGAACCGCTGTATCGGTGGCAGCGGAATACCATTGTAAAGGTGTGTAGACCCCCGTACTTAATCTAACTAAATACAACGCTAACCGGTCGGCGCAGCTCCATGCTCCAAGGAGCTAGGAGCTGAGCGCTCGCGCTCGGTCGGCATGCACTAAACAAGTCCGAAGGCTTTGAAACGCAAAGTCTATTTCACTTCAGACGTTGTGTAAATACCAACCATCATTCCATTTCTACTTTGCTTGTACTATGTACCTAGATCTAAAAATAAGATTAAGAACATGAGTCATGACTAGATTTAGATATAAGTTAGTAGAGTCTAGAGTAGCGGCTCCGGTGTGCGGCCGTCCAGTGGGAATTGCCGATTTTATTTTTGATGCAATTACTCACAGAATACTTCAATACCGTCAATAGAGAGTTCATATATTTAGTTATTAAATAGAAGGCACAAATAACGTAACTGACCCACAGCGTGGTCAGTACTGTCCACTTTAGAAGACGTAAAAGTTGCCCGGTTTGCGGCCGTGCGTAACCCGGTTTGCGGCACGCGTACGTCACAAAGCTTTATGCGCTACGTCACGATCAAAGCATATACCAAATTACTACGGGTAACCCAAATTCTCATGTTTATCTGTTGCTACGGTAAATTTTACAAGTTTTAAACAATTTCACCTTTTTACTGAATGGATCATCCCATACGGGGGTACGTACTACTAGAAACTATCGGGTCACAGCGGGTACACACATCAGCACACATACCATCATACACGATCCCGCATGTTATGTGTGTATTAACACCCCCCGCCGCAAACCAGAAAATCACGTAATTACGTGCCGGTTTGCGGCCACCCCATGCAACTGGCCATGCGGTGGCACAATCAAAATATCTGCGATAGGAGACAGACCACAGCCATCATACTTCCACAAAAACATCAAATTTCACCTCCAATCGGACAAATATCGGACAAATAGAGCTACAATATTGATCTAGTCATGCCTCGATCTCTTAACTTAAAAGTAAGCACCTGCTGGAATTTTCATCGCCGACTGGTGCCGTAGATTTCCGACATCGCTGACGGATACTCCGTACCGACAAGAGCATCTGCTACGGACGTTTTCGGCAGCGCAGAACTTACCGGGGAATCCACGGTAGGTTTCAATGATTATTATCGAGTCATTTTGATTTTATTTTGAAAAGTGATACCCCTGGCCGCAAACCGGGCTATGCCGCAAACCGGAGACTCTACTCTAGGCCTAGTAAAAATTACTTTTTTTTTTTTTTTTTTTTTTTTAAAACCTGCGTCATCGCGACATCAGCAGTAGGGGGCGCTGGTCCAAGAATAAGGATCGATCGCACAAACGAGGATCGTCTTCACGTCTGTGAAAATAGGCATCGTCTGCTTTTTTCGCTAACGATTCTGATTTTGGATCCGCAAGTTGGCGATGCGAAAAACAGATTCCGCGATGATTTTCTTGATGCATTTTACATTGACTTTCACGAAGACAACCCATAAAAGTAGCCAGTGAATTGAGGTTATTTTATTACGCGGACTTCCTATAGAAATGTGTGTTAATTCTAAATGGGATGTCCAAGAAAAGTGTTGACGGTTTTGAGTATTAACGGCCACAACACAAGGTCAATCTTTTACTTGACTTTGTTTTGTCTTTGACTGAGTTTGACTGAGTTTGATGTTTTTGTCATTATTGCTTTTCTTTAGAAATTAGAGGTCTGGAGTGTGGACTCTACCTTTCTATTTGTTATCTCGTAGATCTCTGTCTCGTTCATCTTCAAGTCTGTTCCCTGAGACATTTGTTTTGTTTTTAAGAAATTGTAACTGTTTTTTTTCTTTTTGAATTTTTACACTTTTTGCCATATTGATTTAAACAGTTGTGACATTAAAACCCAGGTCAAGTGAGAATGTTTGTTTATGCTAATTACTGATTTTTGCTGTTGTGTGTTTAAATGATATAATCTTAAGTCTTTCATTCTCTTTCAAATTTGTCGGTAGTTGGTCATATTCATAAGGAAAACATATACATCATGTATCTTCCAGCACAAAACCCCCAGACCTTCTGTTTTTTCTCCAACTATTAATAAAGAAATTGACTTATTTGTTTACTTTGCTGTAGACCAACTGGGCCATTCCATGGTAACTCGCGTTACACTTAATGGGTACATTGACACGATAATGTGCCTATATCTTTAGAACTGCTAGGATCTACAAGATACTTTTTTCAAACATGGACAGGGTAGATATAGAACAACTGAATGAAACAAAAAAGAAAATTGAAGAACAAACATTTTTAGATTCTTGGATTATTGAATTTCGGTAACTCGCGTTACAAAAAAAGGACATGGTCAATTCTACGAGACCCTCTTTTCTCCTCATACTAGACAATCTTGACAAAATCTTTCCTACTTTAATTTGATAGTAGGTTGTGACTTACTAGTATAAGATCACAATATTAAAGATAAGAAACAATGGACTAGTAAAATGCAGGAAGCAAATATGTCGGTAACTCACGTTACGATAACTCGCGTTACATTTTGTCCGGAGGCCATTTTTACCCCTATGTAATAGATTAAATATCCCAGGACCCCTTAGAATAGGGAAATATATTCATCTTTTTCCATTTAGCGAAATTTTCAGGAAAAAATATTACAAGAATCCTGTGTAATCTGCAATAAATTGGTTTTTTTCAGCTGCAGTCCCACATGTACGTTTTTGATGATAGTTTGAGAATAGGAAATCAACAAAAATGAAAAAAAAATTGTATTGAATTTGAAAGGCCCTAATGTTTTATGAACATCCATGGCATAAGGTTAGTGATAAATCAAAGAATTAACATAAGAGGTACATTTCTTTTTTTGATGTCATGTCCTTCTTCTCATGGAATGGCCCAACTACATCTATGAATCATGA